CACACACACACACACACACACACACACACACACACACACACACACACACACACACACACACACACACACACACACGCGCACTTCTGTTTCTACTTGTACTCATGTGCTTCCATTTCCCACTCAGCTTTGCCTTAACCGGTCTCTTTCCTTCACCTACTCACAGGATTCTTGTTCTTTCCTGCCCTCATGTCTCTTAGTTACTTGTGCTGCCTTGTCAGCCCTGTTGTTTTGTTATTTTTGTTATCAAAAAATTCATTAACTATATTCCTGAGTCCTCATGATGTCTGCCATCAGGTCCAAACCACCTACAACTCCTACACTAAAAGCCCAATTTATACAGTTTTTCTGAGAGAGAAAAAAAAATGTTGTTTTGGTATTTAGTTATTCTTTAACTACTTTGGCAATCTAAGCCCCAGTTATGAACTGACCAACTTCAGTTCCACCAACTGCCTCCTTCATGTAGGATGTCCCCATGGAACTGAGTCAACCTAAAAGTATTCCTTCCACTGCTCAACAACATCACTGGCTGAGGTTGACATTACCCCACCTCCATTGAACACAATTGGTAAAGGATTATAACCTCTTGAAAATTTTGAGTTTTTCAAAAAAAAAGTAGTAGTGACTATAACTGTCTGTAACTTTCATCCGTCCGTTCATCCGTTTTCTTCCGCTTATCCGGAATCAGGTCACGGGGGCAGCAGCCTAAGTAGAGAGACCCAGACTTCCCTCTCCCCAGCCACTTGGGACAGCTCATCTGGGGGAATCCCAAGGTGTTCCCAGGCCAGCTGAGAAACATAGTCCCTCCAGTGTGTCCTGGGTCTTCCTCTGGACCTCCTCCCAGTGGGAGGTGCCCGGAACACCTCACCAGAAAGGCGTCCAGGAGGCATCCTAACCAGATACCCATGCCACCTCAACTGGCTCCTCTCGACGTGGAGGAGCAGCGACTATACTCTGAGTCCCTCCTGGATGACTGAGCTTCTCACCCTATCTCTAAGACAGAGCCCAGACACCCTGCAGAGGAAACGTAGTTGGGCCACTTGTATCCGCGATCTCGTTCTTTGGTCACTACCCAAAGCATGTGACCATAGATGAGGGTAGGAACTAGACCACCGGTAAATCGAGAGCTTCACCTTCTGGCTCAGCTCTCGCTTCATCACAACAGACCGGTACAGCGCCCGCATCACTGCAGATGCAGCACCAATCCACAAGTCAATCTCCCACTCCATTCTTCTCTCATTCGTGAACAAGACCCTGAGACACTAAAACTCCTACACTTGGGGCAGGACCTCCTCCCCAACCCGGAGACGGCACGCTACCATTTTCTGGCTCAAGACCATGGTCTCAGATTTGGAGGCACTGATCCTCATCCCGGCCGCTTCACACTCTTCTGTGAACCGCTCCAGTGAGAGCCAGAGATCATGATCTGATGAAGCCAATAGGACCACGTCATGTGCAAAAAGCAGAGATGTGATCCTAAGGTCACCAAAACAGACCCTCAACACCTGCACCTAGAAATTCTGTCCATAAAAGTTATGAACAGAATCTGAGACAAAGGGCAACCTTGGTGGAGTGCAACTCTCACTGGAATCGAGTTCGACCTACTACTGGCAATGCGGACCAAGTTCTGGCACCGGTCATACAGGGACCTAACAGCCCGTATCAATGGGCCTGATACTCCATACTCCCTGAGTACCCCCCACAGGAGTCCCTAAGGGACACAGTCAAACGCCTTCTCCAAGTCCACAAAACACATGTGGACTGGTTGGGCAAACTCCCATGCACCCTCCAGGACCCTGTTGAGGGTGTAGAGCTGGTCCGCTGTTCCACGACCAGGATGAAAACCACACTGCTCTTCCTGAAACTGAGATTCGACTATCCGATGGACCCTCCTCTCCAGAACCCCTGAATAGACCTTACCAGCGAAGCTCAGAAGTGTGATCCCCCTATAGAAATGACAAATAAAATTTATCAAATTGATTTTAATTAGCTCCTTATTTTAGTTCACGCTGAGCCAAAAAGAGAACAAAGTGCTCTTTTTCTTTCCAGCCTGTAATTTAGTTAGACATGGTAATATCTCCAGAGGTGAGACCCTCAGCAGGGACACTAATCAAACACACCTCATCAGGTGACTTCATCAAACCTGCTCCCAGGAGAGTCCACCCTGTTCCTGTTTACTGGAAACAGCAATCCCCTGGTCACACACACTACTTCCACCATATCCCAGCAACTGTCCAATATAACACACACACACACACACACACACACACACACACACACACACACACACACACACAGCTATTCACAGTCACAGTTGTTCACACACATCCACCTGTTCACACACACACACACACACACACACACTCACAGTTGTTCACACACATCCAGCTGTTCACACACACACACACACCACTGTTCACACACATCCAGCTGTTCACACACATCCAGCTGTTCACACTCACAGCTGTTCACACACACACTCACAGTTGTTCACACACATCCACCTGTTCACACACACACACACACACCACTGTTCACACACATCCAGCTGTTCACACACATCCAGCTGTTCACACTCACAGCTGTTCACACACACACTCACAGTTGTTCACACACATCCACCTGTTCACACACACACACACACACCACTGTTCACACACATCCAGCTGTTCACACACATCCAGCTGTTCACACTCACAGCTGTTCACACACACACTCACAGTTGTTCACACACATCCACCTGTTCACACACACACACACACACCACTGTTCACACACATCCAGCTGTTCACACACATCCAGCTGTTCACACTCACAGCTGTTCACACACACACTCACAGTTGTTCACACACATCCACCTGTTCACACACACACACACACACCACTGTTCACACACATCCAGCTGTTCACACACATCCAGCTGTTCACACTCACAGCTGTTCACACTCACAGCTGTTCACACACACACTCACAGTTGTTCACACACATCCAGCTGTTCACACACACACACCACTGTTCACACACATCCAGCTGTTCACACTCACAGCTGTTCACACACACAGCTGTTCACACACATACAGCTGTTCACACTCACAGCTGATCACACACACACAGCTGTTCACACACATCCAGCTGTTCACACACACACAACTGTTCACACACATCCAGCTGTTCACACTCATAGCTGTTCACACACACAGCTGTTCACACACACAGCTGTTCACACACACACTCACAGTTGTTCACACACATCCAGCTGTTCACACACACACACCACTGTTCACACACATCCAGCTGTTCACACTCACAGCTGTTCACACACACAGCTGTTCACACACATACAGCTGTTCACACTCACA